CCCCAAAACCCCAAAACCCCAAAACCCCAAAACCCCTAAAAATGTCTAAATAGTTGTTAAAATTTATATTAAAAAATGTAAGCTCATGGTGCTCAATTGTCTAGAAAATGGACAAGAAGAAGGGAAAGCTCAAGGAAAGTACAAATATTAGCCAAAACCCCTTCCCATTGAAGAAACCATTTCATCAAAGAATGAATGACTTTGAAAAGAAGGCAATAGAGATGGAGAAGGAGAGAGGCAGAATTCCTGCGCCTTCCATACCTAAGGACGGCCAGATTAATACCAAGTAAGCCCCTTTAGCTCCGAGAGGTTTGTTCATTATTTTAGAGTCAAGGATTATAACTTCAACCAATACCTTCCGGAGTTTGATAGCTATACGCCTGAACATGATAAAAAGGAAATTCAAAGAATAGAAAATTTGTTAGGAAAACAACAGAAGAAAGTAAACAATGATGTAATTTTTAGGGATATTCTTTCCCAACAGAGAGTATTGAAGACCCTGAACTAGAGTTTGGTGATCATCCTTTAATCTCTCAGAATGAGAACAATGTCTATAAGCCTCAACTTTTTAAAGAGATGGCTAATCTTCCAGGAAAGAAGAGAATTTCTACAAAGCTTCTGTCTTGGAACACTACCACTAAAGCAGGGCCTAATGGTATGAAGATCCCCATTAAGCTAGTTCAGGTTCATGAAGAGGAGAATCTGAAGAGGATCTCCGAGCCAAAGCTCAAAGATTACTTAACAATTGATGATATCAAAATCAGAGCTAGTATACTGGCTTATGCAAAGTACTCTCATCAAATAGAGGCAGCTAGAGCAGCCAAAATCAAGAAGACTTGCTTGTGGATCCTTGCTATTGCAAAATGAAAGGTATTTATCAAGAAACTTAAACTAGCTGTTAAGAAGTCTAGAATGAAGAAGGACTTACCAAAATAAGGCCTTTTTTATAAAATCTCAATTTTGCACAAGGATGTTGGGGTTTTGGGGTTTTGGGGTTTTGGGGTTTTGGGG